TACTATATAATAAATATAATATATAATATTCAAGAAAGTCCCAATCTTGAATATTATAAAATAAATATAGTAGATCTACTATGTAATAAATATAATATATAATATTCAAGAAAGTCCCAATCTTGAATATTATAAAATAAATATAGTAGATCTACTATGTAATAAATATAATATATAATATTCAAGAAAGTCCCAATCTTGAATATTATAAAATAAATATAGTAGATCTACTATGTAATAAATATAATATATAATATTCAAGAAAGTCCCAATCTTGAATATTATAAAATAAATATAGTAGATCTACTATGTAATAAATATAATATATAATATTCAAGAAAGTCCCAATCTTGAATATTATAAAATAAATATAGTAGATCTACTATGTAATAAATATAATATATAATATTCAAGAAAGTCCCAATCTTGAATATTATAAAATAAATATAGTAGATCTACTATGTAATAAATATAATATATAATATTCAAGAAAGTCCCAATCTTGAATATTATAAAATAAATATAGTAGATCTACTATGTAATAAATATAATATATAATATTCAAGAAAGTCCCAATCTTGAATATTATATATTATACTTGGGTATAAAATAGAATTTTAAAAGTCCCACAAGTATAATATATAATATTTAAGATTGGGAAAAGTCCCAATTTTGAATATTATATATTATACTTGACCCTAAACTCTCTTTTATAATATAGTAGAAAATATGTATAGGCTCATGAGTTAGCTTCTTGGGCTGCAGCCCAAGTTCTTAAGGTTATGCTATGCAATGGGCCTTACCAACTAAGACCCATAAAGAGAATGTTCTTTTAGATTTAGGGGTAAAATATATTTAGGGACATATAGTTCAAAATTGAGTCATATAAATTTTTGTTAGTCACACTATGTCATCCTCCCCCCCCCCCCCCCAAAAAAAAAAAAACCCTAAATTTAATAAGAGAGAAGTATTGAAAATATTCCTAAATTCAGCGTGAATTATTATAAGTTTCATCACCACACTATTGACAACCTTAAAAACACTCATTTACTTGACTAACTTAACTTAAATACGCTCCCGATCTTACAACATGAGTGAAATATACATCTAAATTCTCGTCAAGTTCAAGGGTATTTTCAATACTTCTTTTGGCTATT